TAACACTGGCCACGATTCGGTGGAGGTGCTGGTACTATAAACTCAGCAGCGCCACCGGGTGTTCGTCGAAACAGTGTGGGAGTTTCGACCTGCAATGCATTTTGATGGCATAATTTGGAGGTGACTCTGGAAAGAAATACAGAGAAATTTTTGAAGTGGTTCCGTTTTATCGTAGCGGTTGCAATAGCAGAATTTTTGGAGTGAAAGCAGATCACTTACAAACGAGTTTTATTCATACGCTTCCAGAAAAATTCTTAGTAGCTTGCTATTTTTTGAAATAAAAGCGGGAATGCAAATGGCGGCACTGAAAAAATCTTCAAAATTTGACTGGGTTTCTCCGTTAGAAACAGAAAATTCCAAGTGCCTCCAAAAATGCAGAGTTGGAGGAAAATGTCCAACTACTATGGGGAGTATCTATTTATACTTTATGGCAATTTTCTTTGTTTATTGAACCACAGAAAGCTTTGGAAGAATAGATACGTTTCGCCTCCTCAAAAAACACTTACGTCAACAAACTTGGCCTTTTCTACCAGAAAACGCCTCATCCTGTGTACGATATCCGATCGCATTCGTAAAGCTCTGAAAACGATATTCTTCGATTTTATGCAGTCAATGTTTTTTGTTGTTGAAATCATTAAACTTGAGTGGATCTGTTCACTTTGAGCATTCTTCTAGATCTGACGAGGGAGGTCCGATTAGTCGAAGTGGCCTTTACAAATAAGGCTTACACCACATTGTAGAGCATCAAACGCTGATTCCAAGTCTGTTTTCATTATCTGCCGAGCGCCTCTGTATGCCGAGTTATGCATATTTCCTTGGTGCGAAAAATGAACGCATTATCTATGTAAAATCAAATTTTACTGTCTTTTCAGCGCTCAAATAGAGCAATGTTGAGTGTGAGTGTCAAGTGTCTCGGCAGTCAACGAAGACATATTTGGAATCAGCGTTCAATGCTCTTTATAGTCGTATCAATTTTATGTGAAAAGGCCACTTCGACCAAATGGACCTCCCATGTGAGATCAAACATTATAACATCTAACGCACACATAAAATCGCGCGCGTTGCATCATGCGGCACACATTGTCTGCGTTGGTGAACCAACTATGAATTGCCCCATTCTGCTGCAGCAAATTTTCCAGCTTTTTTACCTTTGCATTCGTTGTGCACGCAAATCGATGTAGCGATATGTAAGTCGCGTCCTCTCACTCGTCTCTGCATCCGGTAGCATAGGCAAATTTGGGGATGCGCGATTCAGCACCGTCAGTTTTGAGACGTCAATCTAGAACTTTTCTCTTTTTTGGGCATACAAACAAGAATACCACGGTCTACTTCAATTTCACCCGTCTTCATCTTGAGATTTTTATTCTCGCCACGGTCTATCACACAACCTTCGACTTGAACTATAGACTCATAGGGAAGGTCTTTGACGATATTGGCGAGATCTGACTCTGGAGCCACCGTAGCCTAAACAAATTTAGAGAGCTCAGATGAATTTCAGTAAGAATCCGCACCTGAACAGTTCCGTAGGCGTCACGCAGAACAAGAAATCGGTTCATCCTTTTGTACGCAAGCCAACCCATAACGCAAACTTTTGTTCCTGGATAAAAAAATTGCAAATCTCTGAGGTGGGAGTACAATACTCTCGCTCTGTCTTAAGCCATGTAAGACGTGATTTTCGTTTGTTACATCAGAAACATTCTCAAACGTTTTTGGAAAAGCACAGTGCTCTACTGAACCGCAGAAACATTTTTACTCTTGGCCAGAATTGCACAGAGCCCTCCTTTTTTCCACAGTAGTGATCGTAGTGATCTTTTGCAAACTTAATTTCTAGTGGCTGCTTGTGTATGACTTCACGATCGGTTTAGAGATCCCGGATTTTTTTTAAAGGAGGAGGGAAGGCTTACTTCAAAAATTCAAAAATTACGGGCAAAGATGGTCAAACTAACCAATAACTCAAATTTTCCAAAAGCTTCGATTTTCGTAAATCAAAAGTGACATCCTCAAGAAAAGAACGTCTTATCTAGCATAAAGAAAATATGTCCTGGATTGAATGAGACCATTTTTAATTTTAATTTTCGCTCTCCTTTTTCTCAAATAGCAATTTCCATACTTGTAAGCTTTAATCAGAATTTCAGAACTTGCGCGCAACCAATCATTTTCAACATTTTTTTATGAACTCACGAGCGAAAGGCCTGGTAAGCTTGCGAAATATACCTGGAACCCAAAATGACAACAAAAAAAAAATCCGTTATTGAAATTCCTGTTTTCTCGGGCCCTGCCAGAAATCGTCTACACTACGCTATGCAGATATGAACTGGTTAAGCTCCCGCCAAAGTGCCCTCATATCGGCGGACTGCTGTTCTACGCAAAGTGGGTACTTTTTTCTCTGAAGCTGGACTACAGTCAGCTCAAATTTAGCAACTAGACTAGATGCCTGTGGACCACTTTTATTCATAAATAATCCATTTTTGGTCAAAGGCACCTTATGTTCACTCCAGCTTGACGTTCTACCCACCTTCATCCTTTTTGGACAACTCTCCACAATTATGCGTTCGTATCGTGTACGCATTCACTGAGTATCTTCTCCACAGTGTGGAGAAACATCGCTTGAGCATCTATAAATCGGAAGCATCTTCTTCATCTGACAAAGAGCACTCTTTATTGAGATTCCGAAGGATCAAAAGCGTGAATGCTTCTATGAGTTGTTCCTGCGAAAAAAAAATAATTTATTGGACAAAATTGCCATTTACAACAATATCACAGCAAAAACCCGGCAACAACAAAACAACGGAACACTCCAAAATCCGCCAAACCACAAAAAATTTCAGAATATTGAACACATTGTCATACATACTTTCCCAACGCTAGGGCAGTAATGTGTGCATTTACACACAATACACTAGACTGCAAGATTATATGTTCATCTATCTATTTGCTATTTATGGTATTCTAACTGAAGTATAACAACGCCTCTAATAGGTCTTCCCTAAACATGGATTCTGAGCAAATTGCGCGCCTCATTCTGCACATGACTGTTGTGTAAATGCACACATATCTACCAACTCCTACTATAAATATATAGACCAAGAACAAAAAACAATATAAATTCAGGGAACTAATGATAACGACTATGACAAGTTTTTGAATTATATAACTGTGATAAATGTGCTCAAGCTGACAAAATGAATCCAACAATACTAAACAATTATCTGGGATGAGCTAGATTGGACGAGAAAACTGCTACGTTCTCATCAATGAGAACTCCATGTCTGGTTGAATGGCAATGAAACTTGCCCAGCACCGATGAACTTGTAGCTAAATCCTAATGGAGGAGTCAGTAACTGCTCGAATTTGTAATCCGTAACGTCGCTTATCTCAAAGTTGGTCAGTGAGCGAAGGTTGAAGAACACTTCCATGGGCACATCGCCAGGGATATAGGTGTCCGACGATACTTCTGGAAAGAAAATTCAAACGATAAGCCAGTAAATCAATGCACAGCTACTAAACTTAATGTTAGGCTTAGCACTGAAGAATCATTTTGAAGGCGTGAGATTATGAGACTGAACACATGCATATATGGATTACAGACATGCAAAATTACCTGAACTTTGTCCAACGACTAAACAGACTATAAAATATCTAAAAAACAGATAGCGAAAAAACTGGAACCTACCGGGTGCTATATTCCTATAGTTATCTTCAACTCGTGGTTCTTCATGGGGCCAGCATAGTGGACCGATCTCATAACTGATCTGAAGTGACGAAATTACTCAAAGCAATATCGTATTTGAGAAGATACTCAGTGAGTAAAAAACCACGGTAATAAAGCAGTTTTGGGAATGGGATGCGTCATAAAACGCTGCTCAACTGCTATCTGAACCCGTTACAGTACGCATTTATGAGATTACTTTTGAGCAAAAATTCAAATGATTGATAAATGGCAAAGACCCATTAACGTTTCCTAATTCTCAAACTCAGCGGCAATAAGGGCGATAACTTCAGTCTATCGCTTAGTGTAAAAATGTTCGACGGATATGGAGGGCAGCTCAACAGCTGTTATACGCGATCACTCGAGTAAAAACGCTTTTCGAAAAAGTTCGGTTGAGCTGAATTATGAAATGAAATAAAGAAAAAAAAAACACTTCTCACCTCTCGTTTCGGATAGATGTAGTTTTTGTATATTGCACTTATCCAAACCCGATAGACTGCACTGTGACCAAGTTCCTCTGGCGGATAGCAACAATTCTAAATGAATATCTTCGGCACAGAATGTCGTATATGAATGGAAAGTAATTATTGCAGATGTGTCACAGTGAAGAGAAAGGAACAGTTTTTATAATAGAATGGTCTACCGTCTAGAAAACTGAATCAGATATAAATAAAATTAAATATGGTAAATAAAAACCTTGCAAAGAGCCGCCACCACCGGAAGTGTAGCGACATAATTCTTCATTTCTGCTCGGAATTTCATCTCTTCGAAAAACTCGTCATCCAGTTCTTTAGCTTCCTTGATCAAGTCCTAAATATATTCTTCATTCACCGAATCTCTGATCAAAACCTATTAGGTTCTTGGACCAGATGACTGACACCACCAATTGTTAACATACGGCCAGCTGGCAGCATTTTCAATAACTCTTTGAAAGGACCCTAGAACCATCATTCATAAACCAAACGAGACTGGATCTTACAGCATAGTCGCTGTGTATTTTCACCATGGTCTCGACGAGTCTATCGGCGGAGTCGGATGCTTCTCCTTGTTCGTGTTTTTCTTCATCGTGAAGTCGTGCTTGGTGTATTAACGCTCGGACCTAAACAAAATCTATGGAATATCTATGTTACAAAAAATGTCTATTTATTCTAACTCACAAATTCACAAAACAAAAATCAAGGTCAGACAATCAAGGCCGGGGTTTGGAATCCCACAGTGGGTGCAAAATCAGGAACAAAATACCGCTATAGAGACAAATTCACTTTGGCTATACACTACCGCTGTTATCGTTGTTTCAGAGTTACCGTTCGTTAATACAATGCTGTTCACCGCAACATTCTCATCTTTACTAGGGGTTCCACTACGAATGCATGATCGAGATTGCAAATTCAATTTCGTTCGCGTTCCCACCTACTGGTAACCACTTTTTTGTACCAAAAGGTTGTGAAAAAGAGAAGACAAACGTAGTCACCACGGTGGTATAGCAAACGGAGAATTGATTTTGCAAGGCATATGCATTCAAGGGGGCACGGTAGGAAAAGGTTGCAATGAACAACATACAATAGATAACACTCGTATCATCCGCAGTACATTATCAACGTTGATATCGCTATTCTGGTAACAATAGTAAAGTATAGCCAAACCCTAATATCAACGGACATGTATGGGGTGATCGAATCGCACGGACTGAGCCCAAGCAGATTGTCGGCATATCTCAATAGTATCATAAAAAGTACTACGGAGAGACGCAGACAACCCGCAATGAAGTATCTGAAAACCTTGCCGTGCTACGTATTTTGCGTCATTGGCGGTGTCGTCGGCTCATGCGGATTGTCCCTCGCCGCCGCCTCGCTTAAACTCTATCCCACGTTTGCGAACGTGTCTACCAATCATTTTCCCGCCTGTTTCGGTGCCTTTCCCATACTCAAATGTTTTAAATTTATCAAAAGAACGTTCGCATACGCGGTGTAGAGCCGAAGCGAGGTCGCCGCGCGCGATCCGTGCAGCTCGAGTCGGCAACACTGCCAGTAGACAGTGGGGAGGATAACTAACAAAACATCCACCCAAGTTAAAAAAATCTTCAGAAAAACGCACCAGTTCAGGAATTAATAGCTCCTATGACATAATCAAGAAAAGAGATTAAGAAAAAAAAGTTTGAATATTTGTAAAAGAAAAAACACCTTTTTCAGTATATCCTTCTGATTCATCTTCATCTTCCACGCTCTAGTTGCACCTATAGAAGCTACAAAAGGAGGCAGTGGTGGTTTAGGCGGCTTTTCGGAAGTTTGTTGATGGTTCGACACTATTAATGGAGCTGGGATCTGTGATTCTTCTTCTTTTCCAGAGGTTTCAGTGGCTTTGTCAACACTAGCAGTATCTTCATTACTAGTTTGCTCATCATCTTGGTAATCCTTCGGAGGTGAAACCCCTCCACCCTTTGTATCATCTTCCATTTTAGTAGAAGTTTTAACATCCTCTACTTGTTTCGCTCCCGAAGGCGCTTCTGGAACTGTCTCTTCCGCTCCTGAGGCTTCCTCTATCACTTCAGTTCTCTTTTCCGCTTCTGTAGTTTTTTCTTTCACTTCTGGAGTTTCCTTCTCCGTTTCTGGAGTTTCTTCTACTTCTGAAGACCCTTCTTCAATTTCTGTTTCGGAACTAGCACCCAACACCTCCGATTTCTGTTCTTCGACATTCTTTTCATCTTGCACTTTAGTATCTTCAGCTTTCTTAACTGCATGCGATTCAGCTGGGCTAGCTGCAAAAGTAAAACTGATCCGTAAAAACCGAACAACTGATGACTCACTTTTGTTCTCCAGGAAAGATTCGTCGATTTCATACTCGATATCTTCAGACCCAGGCACTTCCCTTCGCTTATTTTCGAAAAAGGCAGGATCTTCACGGATTTCCTTCAACCCTGCTAAGAATTCGGGCAGTGTTTCCTTAAATAGAGACTTTAGTCCATGAGACAAGAACGTTTTATGTAAAATACAAACTTATAACATACTTTCTGAAGATCATGAGACTCGACAGTCTCGCGATGGTCCAATATGGACAACAGATCGAATTGATCCTCCCAGTTTTGTACAGCCTCTCTTTCGGCTTGTCGTTGCGCCGAGCAACAATGTACGATTCCAGGGTCAATAGGATGAGCTTCAGTGTTGAATATGTAGCCGCCAGCTGAAATCAAGCCGAAAAGTCTTCATAAACTACCAAAAATTCAATTTTTCTTTCAATCCTGAAAATGATCGTGATATGACTAAACTTTATCAAAATTTAGTGACAATCGTAATAAAGTTTAAGTCGTTAGAAAACAATCATTAATCACAAAAAGAAATCAACTGAACCATCAGGAAAGGATCTCACCGTCAATGACACACTCTCCATTCGGAGTGTCCACAATTCGAGCATCAATACCATCATTATGAAGGAAATTGTCGGGATCAAACAATAGATATAGATATTTCGTGGTTTCCGCGAGGAAAAACGACTCCATTCTAGAGGACTTAGAAACTAATAAAATAATTTACAGCAAATCTGAAGATACTTACCTGTCTTCGATGGAATGGTCATTGACATTGTTGATGGTCGCGTAGCCACAAGGGGTTTTCGCACTATGTTCGATAGCCTAAAGGCAAAGCTCAAATCCTAACAAGCAGTGGAGATGGAAAAGGAAAGACACGAAAAACACGAAAAGGAATGTGCCCTCGGTAACTTGCCTTCCCTAAAAATTTGAGGAATAGAGTTCCAAATCAAAATCACCATGTGACCTTTGGGCTAAATCACTAGAATACTAGCAAACTCACATCCACCAGCTGGGCTCCAAGTTCCAGATAATGGGGATCTTGCGTTGCTCTGTATAGATACATCAAACTCTCCGCAACCTCAGGTCGCAGTGGAAAGGCTGTGCGCTTCTCTGACTGTAGAGATTTGGATAAAACTGCACCATTCGACTGATGATTTTACAAACGTACTACAGAATTCTGAATGTTGTAGAACTCAGGCGGAAAACCGTACTGCCGAACAACTTGAGAATATTGTAGCATGATTCTCGCAGCATCTTCTACTTCTCCGATCATGGTCTTAAGAAGTAGTATAACTTATAGTGCTTGAAAGGACCATGCACACGTACCAGTAATCCAGGATAAAAGGCCTCCAGCGACTGGAAAATAGGCAAAGAAACACTGGCCTTGTGCATATTCACCCACAAGAACCAATCTCCTTTACGAACATAACGATTGATGGCAGCTTGATACTCTGCAAAAAAAGTGGCTTATGGTATTTTTAGCAGATTGTTACAGATATGAAACAAACTTTGAAGAAGATACTAGTTCCAAGATATCAAGCCTCTGCATGAGAATGTGTGCACCAATCATCGCCAAACTAAAATTACCTCTGAACTGCTCCATCAATGCAGGCCGCTGCAAAAGAAGAGCACCTTTTACGAGGTATTCAAAATAAGAATCCACTCCAGCACCTATACCAGTATCCGTAGCCGTCCACTGCCCTAGAATATGCTGGTAAAGATTTGGAAAAAAAACCGAAAATCAATGATAGATAAGACCGATACCTGTGCGAACATTGATATGATTGCCTACAAGCCCTATGGAAGATCGAGTGCGCCAAAGAGCTTCCAAAGCTCGAAGCGCCACTCTTTCAAACTGCGGATCACCAGTGAGTCGGGACAGCGTTCCAAACTCTGTAAACAAATCACTGACATTTCTTATTCCCCCATTTAGTCTGATCCAACTCTGAGAAGCAATAGTCTCACCAACAATAAAAGTCGAAACTCCCGCAGTACAAGTGATAGGTGTTTCACGTTTTGGTACGCCATATTTGAGATTCACAGTTCCATAAGGCATGCCAGTTTCTATATCACAACTACATACAAGATTAACTGTCTATGAATGCAAGAAAAGAAAGCAAAACCACCAAAAGGAAACAACTAAACCGGCTCACTTACCTGTATTGAAGGCTGGTAATAATCTGGCCGCCATGGCTTCCGCCAGCCTTAATAACGGCCCCGAACATGGCCAACCATCTTCCAACACCATGCCTGAAAAAGTCGTTACCTGAGGCAAGCAGCTGGCTGTACCTACACTACCTTCAACTCTGCCGCTAAGCATATGGGCTGAAAGTAGCCCTCCTACAACTCGGATATTCGTTTCAAAAACAGATACATTGACATTTGCGTCGGTCCTCACCTGAAAGAAGCTCGAAGGTAATCCCAAGCGAGAATGTAAACTGACGTAAGGTTAATCTCGAACCGCTTACCGACTTCAATACGAGATCAACAGCTCGCTTAAACTCTGTTGTATTACCCATAACAATCAGAGTATCCAAAGCATCGACTAGAGAAAGTGAAAATGAACCCCAAGTGTCCTGACCTGTGACAATGAGGTGTTTATTGTGAACAAATAAGAAACACATAGCGGCACCTTTGCAAGTGATCGGCATCAGCTCATCAAGCGGAAAGGCATGGTTGAGATAGCCATTGTATGCATGATAAAACATATCTCGTACCTTTTCACGATACCTGAATCAATGCAGGAGATCAAATTCCTTTTACTTTTGTTGCAAAAGTGACAAGAAGTCAAAAACTTTTTGCGTTCCCAAGCTTTGAAGCATAGCTTATTTCAAAGCAGTACGTACGCCTACGGCTGAGAAGGAAGCTCCCACGTTCGCGCGGTTCTATTTGAGCTGCTGTTGAACAAAGCTCGAACTTTCATAGCAACAAATCAGATCGTAGTATTTAGTAGTCACATCAAACGAATAAAGCAAATATCAAAATTATAGTGGAAGGAATTCAGCTGGTTCACCAATTATTTGAAATACACTTTCGAAAGCAAGTTCCAGTGAAAGAATTTGAGTTTACGGCTTATAAGCAACACGCGTTAATTTCTTTCATTTACAAAAATCACAATGCTCCGCTCATTTTATAACCCAAAAAAAAAACAAATAGTTTCTCCTCAAATCAACCAATTCAGCTCATACGAAATCAAATCCCTATACCTGAGAAGATAGCTGTTACCCCAACTTGGAGATTGAGTTGAAAAAATAACCTACTTGGTCATCATCTCGTCGTTGAATTCGATTGTCGAACAGCAAGAGAACAGAACCAGCCATATCCACTGCCGTAACAACATAAACTTTGCAGAGCTCTTCAAATGACTCATATAAATTACATGGAAGATGAAAATCTTTTTCAACAAGTTACTGCAGCAAAGGTTTTCTCCTTAAAAATCTGCGCAAGAACTCTGATTCTGAGATGTGTCGCTTGACTATGACATGATCGGAAGGCATCCTGTCCATCCTCACTTTACCTGAGATACAGTACACTGCACTGACAGAATTCTTGAAGACGAATTCAAAAATGTAACGTTTATTGCAAAGTGAGACCAACAATGTTAATGGCTAAGTGAGATCGCCTGATATAAGCAAAACCGTATAAAGCGATTCAGTCTTCACCGGTAAACAACTATGAGCCTGATAAGAAAATAAAACAGCCTATAAAAAGTATTGTTAACGAGATGCAATATAGGTAAAGAATGTTGGAACAATCAACAGAAAACCACGACAATTCCCTTCACCACGATGGTTCTCCAAATCGTTCCACTGCGGTATGGGCTTCACGAAGATCGTTGCGGACCTTTTGACGCATGTACCAAATGGGACAGTCTCGAGCTGCACAGTTGACCTAACATGATAAATCCAGTTATTTTACACTTTTACCAGTACAATGTGAATGACTAGTTGGTTGACTTGAATAAAAAAGCACCTGAATACCAAAAAAAGGAAATTGTGAGAGATTTCGTAGATCATATCATACCTAGACTACTGAAAGTGAAGTGACCAACCTTATCTTGCATGGTCTTGGCGCAGTTCTGACACTCCGTCCACAATCGCGAGAAGTGCCTTTCTACGGTATTCAAGTTCGTTATCCTTAAAAATGAACCTTTAAAAAAGTCTATGAAAATAAGGAAAATTTACCGTTGTGCATAGATTTCCGGTAATTTGCCTTGCTTGATGCAAAAATCGCAGACAGCTCGTTTTTGATCTTTCAGAACCGCTTTGCAACTAAAACGAGTGGTAAGAAAGAATATTAGATAAGCCGTCGAAAGTAATTGTCCAAGTGGATGAACGTATACATGAAATGACATTTTGCACTTTCCTATATGGTCTGCCGACTCACCCCAAACAGGTAACCTGTTTCTTTGTGAATGCAGCAAGACCACCCACTTTGCTCTGCACCACAGTCCTCACACGTGTGTGCTCACCCTCTATCAGAATCTAAAATGGAAACTTTTCCAAATTCAAAAAATTTGGACTGATTTAACGCTTACCTTCTCTGCTCGGTCACCGAGGATTGGCTCAAAGATCCTGGCAAGAGGTTTTGCGAGTTGGTTGGTTAGGTAGTACCTTGTGTCGATAGGTATGTTGTTTTTCAGAACAAACTCAGGATCCTCGGCTTTCTCATAAGCAGGGACATTCTTAGCGGCAGCCACTGGAAAGAATGCTAATATAATCAAACAAGTCGTAAAGCTTGACACAGAAATAAGAGCGATAAGAAATAGTAAAGAAAAATACTAGAAAAGCAACAAGAAAATAAGAAAAATTAGAATATAGTAAGCCTACAATTACGAAGAACATCATCTTGGCTTAACGAAGATTTCAGACATTGTATAAGTAAGAAGACAACAGAAATTGTTTCGAGATCACACCTACCGAAAGCATACTGCGAAAGATCTTACAATGATAGAAACTCAGCGAGTATAAAGTATTAACACAAAAAGTATTGAGTCCTCAAAAAGAGATGGAGATCTAGAATTGTGAGCAGGTTTGCCGTTGTCATCCTCTCAAAATATGCATAAAAGGATGTATACGAATTCACAGCTTACCTATCACATACGGTACTCTGTCGCCGAGTCGCGGTGCTGATCCTGGGTCACGTTTTTTCATTCTAGCTGCCAGCTCCACATGTGCTTGCTTTGCTTGGTATTTCTAAAACGCAATAAGATTTTGAGCAGATCGCATACAACTTAACGTACCTCGCCTGACTTTGTCAACTCTTTGCTGATAATCAACATCGAGATGTCGATCTTATTGCAAAGAAGATCCGAGATGACTCGTTTCGCAAATTCAAGCGCAGAATCCGCGTCACGGTCAATCATCAGCTTTTCAAGGCAGGTGCTCAGCACTTTTGCCACTAATGGACAATTATCTCGTCGGACAGTTTCTAGTCCCTGAATATGTAATTGGGTAAAATCATCCTTTGAAAAGAAGACAACTCACTTTGCAATCCATTTTGTCATGCTTGTCCGGTTTAGTAAAGTATAATCCAGCATATCTCTTTTTGTTTATGAGTAGATATGGGAAATACACCTCGAATGATAATTTTTACTGGACAAAGACAAACAAAAACAGTGAATGCGCAATCCAAACGCTGACCAACTTTTTCAAATTCGAGCTTGATGGGTGGAGTGAAGATTTTGCTGACTTCGGTGGCGGCATGCAGACCAATCTCCATAGCTTCAGCTACTGTTTTCACACCAAACTTTACCATAACAGAATCAGTGTCTCCATAAACAACCTGAAATTGAACAGCGAGAATTCGTCAATAAAATGAATGACTGGATCAGGAAAAGGTAGAAGAACCTGAGCATTAGCTGGACACTTTCCATCTAGAGCTCCTGCCACATAACGCTTCTCAACTTCGTTCTTTGTCAGATCAATCATTTGCCTTCCAAACGCTGTCACGGACTGTGAGATCTCCAAACAAGGCAGTTTTCCAACGGTAGCACCAGTAAATCCATAAACAGAATTGGCAGAGATCTGTAAGAGCAACGTAAACAATCTTTTACACATTTACGATCAGACTCTTTTTTTTAAGGAAAACTAGGAAGCTGACCTTCAATGCCAATTGTCTACCATTCAGCACCATTTTTCTGAACTCATCCTTCTCATGCTTCATCTCATTTTTCGCTCGTTTTCTGGAAATCACACTGTCGTTTATGCGCGTTACCGATTTCTGCTCTCACCTTGCAGCAAGTAAATCTTCTAGAATCACAGGTAGCAAACCGCGACGTCGTTCTTTGGTAGCAAAGTAGTTTCCCGTTGGCGTTTTGATGTAATCCTGAATACACAATTTTTCAAGGATCTTGAACAATGACAGTGATGTTTGAGATTTTTTGTTTGACTTGAGAAGTTTTTGTTTTTACGCTATCAAAAATTCACACAGAACATAAATAGACGCAAAAGAAAAAAATCGTAATGTGATGATTAAGTTCTACAAACCTTCCCTTCTTCTCCTTCTGGCTTCTTCAGCAAGGTAGTGTAGCAGAGATTGTGAGCTATCATTATGGAGGGATATAGAGAGGCAAAATCAAGTGTGGCGATTGGCTCGTTGTAGAAACCACGTAAGGGATCGATGACAGTGGCACCTTCATAGCTAGAAGAAAGAGATGTTCAGCAAAAGTAGCCAAATTACCACCAACATTTCTTAAATAAAAAGATAAGATTACAAATCAGTAAGAGGATATTTTGCACCTCTCAGCGTCGCCTCCTTGCACATCGATAACTGGCAAGAAGAAATGGTTTGCCTTGCACTTTCGTAACATCATAGACAAGATCTAAAAAGCTGAACTCTAAAATCTGTTGAAGACTGCCATTCAAACCTTGATTTGCTGTCCTCTTGTAAGCAGGTAGTTCAACGGAACGCCGGTCACCCTAGCCATTTCCATGTAGTTGATTACGGAAAGCAGTTTCTCCAAAAGTTTCAGCGGTAACGCAGCATCCTTCATGCAGTAAACGGCCAATCTAGAAATCATATACTTGTTCCCGTCTAAATCACACAATAACCCAATCTTACCTTCTTCGAGAGTAATCGTCACCCTTTTGCAGCTCGGGAATGAAGCTATACGCCACGTCCTCCTTTTGTTCCGCTAAGAAATGGTAGGATACGCTGTTCAACGTATAACTTCTGAGTTTGTAGTCTCTGAGAACCACCTATAACCGCATACTTAAACAAAATTCAAACCGAAAAATTCTATAATTGCACTTGAAAAAAAAAGACAGTGAAGATGGTGAAAGATGGTGAACTAGCATGAACTTTAGGCATGTGATACCTGCAAGACATCGAAAATGATTCTTCCATGAATGTCGATACTCTTATTAACGCGGCTTCCCATCTGCTTTGAAGATATTGGAGCATCACGAACGCCAGATGCTCGGTCTTTCTGCCTTCCCAACAGCGCTACCGAAGGTAATTTCAGCACCTGCGAAGGGATCATATAAAGATAAATATTCAGGCAAAAATTTTTACCTTTGCTCGGTCCAGGATGTACGGCAGATCAAAATTGAGAATATTGTAACCAGTCAAGATATCGGGGTCCACAACTCGAATGAATTCTGCCCATCTATGAAGGAGGGAGTCATCGATAATTCATCTATGTAGCAAAACTGCTTACTTTTCCAGCAAATCTTGCTCGCTCTTGCACTCAATTATTTCGGAACCAATCACAGGCGCACACGTTCCCAGCACGAAACAATTTCGGATAAACGGCACAGACTCGCCTTCCACCTAAAAATCTCGGATTAAGGCTTGACCAGCAGAGTCAGATGATGTCCCTAACCTTGACCATATTAGCTATCTGGATAACTGGATCTTCGCTGGCATCAGGAAAAATTCCACGCCTACCCATACATTCGATATCAAGTGACAAAGTACTAAAAATAGCGCATGAGCGACAAAGGTAGTTTCCAAGCAAATCGGGGTGACTGGACGTTTCAAAAACTCTTAAATCTCGGAAATAATAGCGAGAACCTTCCATTCAGCCAGAGCCGTCTTTCCAAACGAGCTTTGGAACAGCCTCAAAAAAGCTTTGACCACTAAAGAAGGGTTCCTGGTTACCTTAGAAAAGCAAAGAAAGCTAAGCTTGATTTTTGGACTGCACTTTCATAATGACCAAAGATAGGCAGGCGTTCTACAATGGATCCGAAAAAAGAAGTTAATTCACCGTATCGGAGCCACGTCTGCCCATTCGCCTTCCGGATCATGCGCTATAAGATCTTCGAGCTTCACTTCAACCTCAAGCTGACATCTAAAACTGTACGATTTCTTGAAACAAAAGTATATGACACTGAGAAGGTCACCTCGACGTATTCGACTTCCCTTCATGGATTTTTCCTTTTCCAAGTGGAATTTCTACCCAACCACAACCAACGACTCCGCTATGAGCCATGAACTTCACCTCAGGGTCGATATTCGCTTCATAGAGCGTACCAACCTGAACAATTCGTAATTTATATTTTGAGTGCAGGTAGTGAGAAATTTCAGACCTGTACTGGACCATTTCCATAATGGAGACCACCGCTTTTTAGCTCTTGCTTGGCTTTGTTCAAAGCATTAGTTGTGCCACTGACTTTGATGAACGGGTACTTCTTTTCGGATCCTAAAAACGATAGACTATTTTCTACGTTTAACGGCTATTGCAACAAAGATCATGGGCGAAAAATGGTTCAGGGCACAAAGAAAACGCTACAAAACAAAACAATGACTGGGCTAAAGATTAAAGGTTCACTTCGCACTAACTAGAAGAACCAAAATCTTACCTCGATAGTAGTAAACATTTTCGCCTTGTACGATGCTCAGCCGTATAAGATTTTCCACAACTTTCGCAGACATCTGCAGATTCGAGTTTGCTCGACGTAGAGCTATGGCTACAGCATTATTCAAGTGCCTTTGAGCTGCATCCAGATGCTCCGGAGCAAAATTTTCGGGTGCCTGGAAGAAAGGTGTTTGAGAAATTGTACCTGAAACATGCTAAGAGGTGGAAGGTACCTGAAAGTAGAAGTGGGGAAAGTAATCAGTCACAACTGCGCATACAGAGTTGCCGAGTCGAGTAACACCGTATAACTTGATGTTCGTTCTATCGCAGGAGGTAGCGGTTCCAGGTTCGTGAAAAGATTCGATATCGAAAACCTAAGAAGCGCATAATTCCCTCCACTTTCCACAATAAAGCCGGGCACATCACGCGATTTCATCGCCTCGCGATTCTGCCAACCAGACAACTGTTACGAGTCCATTGCATCTTAATCATCTTGCACTGGTTGTGATAATTTTCCAACCCCACTAATCGCGAATAACTATCACATCCGAAATGCAAGATGATCGGCGTGCAAGAACTCGTAACAGTTGTCTTGTCGGGAGAATCGCGAGACGATGAAACCGCGTGATGCATTCCCGGCCCTTGAAGTGTTCGCCAATTTCCTCACGCACCTGAAATGCTATAGATTTCTTAGTTCCAAGACCCTCTTCGAGAGGTTTCCTATGCCAAAGAGATTCCGGATCCTCGTCTTCTGTACTCTGCGATAACTGCTCCAGATGTGTTTCGAATTTACCCTAGAAGTGAAAAAGAGGCTAGTCAGATATATGCAGTTCTATGTTGATAAAGAGCTATAAATTTTACCTTGCTTGGAGGCTGTGCATCTCCCCTTCGTCGTTTTGCTGCAACCGCAGCTGGAGTAACTGTGGTTCGCTTTTTTGGAGATGGCATCTGAAAGTGAAAGTTCATTTACTTATGTATACGACAATAGGCCAGGAAAAAAGCACTCAAGAAAAAGAATGAACGTGCCATGTTTCACAGGGAACAAACGATTTGTTTGCCGAGCAGTCACCGGCCAAAAGCTTCGCAAAAGTTAAAGTTAGAGATAGAAAAGATGCAGACTGCCAAAACCCTAAACAAAAAAGGCTCAAAAGCGATCCTTGCTGCGTGCAAAAATAAAATCGCCAAATTATCCCGCCAGAAAATGTCGCGCTCTAGTGCGAATTTCGCGTGCGTCCTTTAAAACACCTTGCTCAGACAATTCTGCGCGCAAGCGGCGCGCACTCACGGCCAGCAGGGCAGGCGGCGCTCCGTGATTTGTGGGCGTGGCACTGCAGCGCACAGGCGGCGCGCACTGATTTCAGCCAACAGGCGGCGCGCAATGCATGTTCGCAGGCGGCGCGCAGACACAGTGTGCGTGCAAGCGGCGCGCAATGAACTTTCTGTAGCATCACGTAAGCGATGGGGGAGCTTGCTTTCGCGCGCAAATGCAGAATTTTTTGGATAATCGTTTCTCCTCGCTCCTCCTTGTTTTTTTTTCAAAGGTATTGTGTTGTTTATTACCTCACCTTTAGGGATCGGCCATACTATTCCTGCTATTCCTACGACTCCTGCGAATCCTGCGATTCCTGTGAGTCCCGCACAGTTTAGACGCCGCTTAAATGAGCGCGTGTTGCGTAAAACAACACGTAACACGCAACACGCGCTCATTTAGCGGCGTATAAACTGTGCGGGACTCACAGGAATCGCAGGAATCGCAGGAGTCGTAGGAATAGCAGGAATAGTATGGCCGATCCCTTACTTTGCTGTTTCAACTCTTCTTCTACTTTTAAATCGTTTTGAAATCAAATGTGCGATTTTTTTTGCCTTTTTGTAGCACGTCCTCTTTTATTCCATTTAAATTCACTATTGTTTCTCAGTCAGTCTTGCATATCTTTTATTCTACCTCTGGTTCTTAATCGTATTGACCCCGTGACACAGTGACGCTCATTTTCAATCAATAACGCTTTCTTGCGTCGTTGCGCCTCCTTCATTTCTTTCCGTTGGCATTTCTTTCTCTTCTTTTTTCATAATATAAAAGCAATGTTGAATATAGGTCACAACTGCCTTAGTACAATGACGGCTACGTATGGATGCTGAAAAAAAAGTCAACCTCAAAAGAGTAAGTCTTGTTTTTTGAAGGCAAAGTAGGTATTTTGTCTAAATACATTATTCTGTTTCAGCCGCCAATCTACAATGACTCCAAATACCAAGAATCAAAACAATTTATGGTCGTGGGACCTCAGCCCTGACTATTTATCTTGAAGAGGTGGAAAATTACATTTTTTTTGTATTCGTCAAAATTTTTGTTGCTTTTTCACTTAAGTTTGTCAATAGCCTGTATTTCAGCGCCACAGCAAGCGTCTAGCACCGACTGATGGAATCGACCCTTGATGCAACAAAGACCATTACGAGAAATAACGAGGACGAGGCTGATCCAGATTATTCATGTCTCATCCATCCCAATTCTTATTCTTTTACCCTTCATGTCACCGTCATTCATTTGTTTGATTCCTGTGGTTGAATTGGGTATATGAAGTCCATGAGCATTTAATTCTGGCTGATCAAGCATGCCCCCTTTTTGGTCATTGCTATCGCATTTTCATATTTTATTCCTCTAAAGCTGTACATATATTATGTATTTATATCTATGTATACATGTCCAGGCCATTTATCAAAGTATTTAGTGACTTTATTGTTATTTCAAGTTATCCCATCATACTGTTGCATTTGTTACTATCAACTTCATTGTATTCATTACTTCATACACACGTCTTGTTGATATCATATTTGAATGTAAATACGTTGTTGATGTTGACTTTGAAATGTCTGTGAATTTTGTAAGTACTACCTAAGCTAATAGTATTGAATGCCAGCTGTCAAAGACAGCATTACTCTGTAAATACTGCGTTTTTGTTGAAATTTGCGTTAAAAACCTGTCAAATTTGAAAAATGTAGATATTATTCGTTAATAAAATAGTTGTGAAACCACATTGTCCAACAAGCATAAGATATTCAGACCGACAACGAAAATCCGAGCAGATTCCTGCCAAAATTTTTCTCGTAGCGCGCAGGCGGCGGACCTTCAATCCATAGGCGGCGCGCACTGCACACACAGGCGGCGGGAAGGCACATCGCTCGCTGATTCAGTGCGCGCCGCCTGCGCGCAGATTTGTCTGAGTGGAAATGAAAAACAAATGAGAAAAAATTCAGGGTTTTTTAGAGAGCCTTTCTGATTTTTTGAGATGAGTGGCTTATTCGAACAGACATTCGCTTTACAAGCTTCCTCTTACCTAATTATGGTGTCATATCACGTTATGAGTTACAGGTGTTTTGTCGATGTTTGTTGGAAGGTGACAATTTGTTGTAAGCACTATGCTCTTTGCAACACATCTTCGTGGAGCTCTTTCCATTCTTAGAAGAAGCGTTTCCTATCTGCCCAAGTAAGCAATACTTTAGTTTTTATCGTTGAGAAGGCTGATACCAAATTTCAATTCCATTTCCTTTGTCAAGTTCAGGAGGTGCACTCTCCTGACTTGAATCCTTCACCCTGATTGTCTTACTTTGTATGAACATAACATTTATGACTAGAATCTTTAATATATATATGTAAGGTAAAAGAGGGGAAGGGAAGCCGCCGGTCACCCGATTAGGCACAGCTCATCTGGAGTTGCTGGGCACCGCCCAGTTGGCGTGGGGACTGTCGGACCATCTAATTAGTCTGCGTCTCGACACCTTTGCGAAGGCCACTTTTCATCTTAGGCCCTCTATCAGATCGTATTCTGTGGACGATTTTTTACCTCGAAATGAAGAACAATTCTTCTATAGAATGTCAAAAATTCCCTTCAGGAAGCACAATTACTACGATGTGCTCGGCGTCAAACGTGATGCAACCATGGAAGAAATCCAGAGTGCTTTCATAAGAAAAACGAACGAGGTGATTATTTTTGTGAAGTCTTCCTTTAATCTAGCTAGTCATTGATTCTTCAAGTTTTGTCAAAACTAGTCATGTATCTCTAGCTTCATCCAGACCGCATGTCCAAACCGAAAGACAAACGGTTACGATGGCGAAGAAACTCCGACACTGAATTGTTTATGGAGGTATGCGGAAGTTCCATCGTTTGGCGGTTTTCCTTTCTTAGTTGATTGTTTTGTTAAAACACCAAGTGTTAACAAGTTTTGAATCAAAATATATTGAATCAGAAAATTCGTGGCAGAAACCGTGAGACTCGTTGTTGAGCTGTGCAAACCAACTTCTTTGTTTCCTCCATATTATTTTACTATTCCATTTTCTAATTATTTGTATTTGTACGAGTGTTTTTCACTAGACGGTATCAGATTAAGGCCCGTATGCACGTACATCCCCGCGGGGAGGGGAGGGGATCTGAGAGGGGAAGCGCCATATCTCGCTGCTCTGAATATCTTTCTTCCTTCTTCTCTATCGTGCTTACAAAGGTTCTCATACCCTTATTCCTGCGCATAATGGATGCCAGGTTACTGCTATACAAGATTGAATATTTATTATTTCTTCCGATCCCCTGGGGATCCCCAGGGGATCATCTCACATTTTCAAAGTCATTTATCTTCCTTAAAAAATCAATGAAAACGCTGCAAAATTGTACTGAAGATATACTACGATACTGCTGAGCATGTTTTCGACAGAAGAAATGGAATCCGAAGATTTTGATTTTTTCGATAATCCCTGGCTCGCGAGCAGCGGTTCATCGAAGATTTTGAGATTTCATTCATTTCTACCATAAACATGTTTAGCAGTGCTGTAGTATATCCACAGCACAATTTTAGAGCATTTCCATCGAGTTTTCAGGAAGATAAATAGCTTTGAAAATGTGAGGTGATCCCCTGGGGATCCCCAGGGGATCAGACGAAATAGTGAATATCTAATCTTGTATGGCAGTAATCTGGCATCCGTTATGCGCAAGTATCAGTGTATGAGAACCTTCAAAACCAAGACAGAGAAAGAAGAAGAAAGATACATAGACTAGCGAGATATGACGCTTCCCCTCTCAGATCCCCTCCCCTCCCCGCGGGGATGTACGTGCATACGGGCCTAAGTTATGTTCCAGGTAAAGGAGGCCTATGATTGTTTACGTAAACCAGAAAAGCGAGCAGCCTATGATGACACGCTAGATACCAGCGAAGGATTCTTGATGGAGGTGAGTAGGCTGTCAAGAATTTAGCCTTCAGAGAACTCTTCTCCTCACTATTTGGTTTACGATGAATTCAGGCTACTGCCTCGAAATATAAAGAGGAAACTATTGTGGATCTGAACAGGGCTAAAAATGATTGCTATATGGGACCACGAGGACCACATTCTCCACCTTCGCATCATTTCAGGCTTGTCTATATGATTGTGCTTTGCCTCCGTCTTTTTTTATTCTATACAGCAGGTTTTGTAGAGATTTGGAAGAAGAATATTATAGAGAGAAACACAGGAATCGCATCTTGGTCATTCTTGGTGGAGTGGTAGTTGTACTGATTCTATTCAACATTGGCTATGTTTGGTAAGTTGCGTAGTGTTTCAAAAGCGGTTTGTGTCGAATTTTCATTATTTTCAGGATTTTGCGGCGAAAACAGCGCAAAGCTCTAGAAGATTCAGCGAAAAGTTGATAGTTGTTTATAGTCATTTGTGCCAGTTTTTTCTTCGTATAGTTTATGTACTAGCCTTTTTATAGATGGTGTAAGTCCTGAAGCCGCGGGTCTTCTGAGCAATTAGTCTTTATTTTTATTTAGGCTATTGAATTTTCCTCTATATATATAGTTACCTCGTAGGTGATAGCCTTTTTGATCTGTGAGATTCTGTCTTACCTCGGAATATATCTCGTAGTTTTTCACTCGCAATGAAATTTACTCATCTGTATCTACTGATTTTTGTGTTAGAGGCGAGCATTCCCTCAGTTGTATCGCTGTGATCCTCTCGTATTCAGTTGATTGATATCTTTTAGTGCAGTCCATATATGCTCCTGTGCTCAAACAGAAATGGTCTCGGCAGATGTCGGAGTTTGATTTGTAACAACCTTCAACTAGTCAGCACTAGTCGAAGGTTGTTAGAAACTACTTCCACATCGTAAGTGCCTATTTTTTCTAGAGTTGGCCTAAGTTGGTGTATTTTCTGATCACTTAGGAAAGATTACTACCAAATTTTGGGAGTGCAAAAGGATGCAACGCAACGACAGATCAAGGCTGCTTATTACCAACTATCTAAAAAAGTAGGTCGATGTTCTCACTTAATTTTCTTTATGCTGTGAAACATTCATATATGGCGCCTTTTATCGACCACCTCCGCGAATGGTTTTTAATTTCTCGATTGTGTATTACATGTATGTAAAAATTTATCACTCTTGTATAAAATCAGGGTGTTTGAGACAAGCATTTTTCAAAAGTCGTTCATGTCCTGAAAAGTAGTGAAGCTCAGTTCGTTATTGCCGCTTCAAATAATATCAGCCTTCAATTTTTTAAATATTAAGCATGTGAGCTCCACCTCTTTTAATGTTAATAGCAGTGTTCGGGAAAGAAGTCGATTTTAAAGGCAGTGTCCGGGCAAAAAGTCGATTTTGAGATTTTGCGCTTACCCGGGCCTATTCACTATGCTGATTCCGAAAATCCACATTAGAAAGCGCAAAACGGCAAAAAAGGGCTCTAACGCAGAAGGGAAATCGAAAGTGGGCGGGGTCCTCCCCACTGTGAATTTCGCAGTCCCAGCTTCTGGAGCAATCTTCCCAATTCCTCTAGCGCCCTGAGATCTCCACCGGCTAGGTGCGAATGCATGACTTGAAATCGGAACCGAGAAGATTGCTCTGGAAGCTGGGAGCGTGAATTCACAGTGGGGAGGACCCCGCCCACCTGTTGATTTCCCTCCCTTGTTAGAGCCGTTTTTCGCCGTTTTCGCGCTCTCCAATGTGGATTTTCGGATTCAGCATAGCGAATAGGCCCGGGTAAGCAAAAAATCTCAAGATCGAGTTTTTGTGCTTACCCGGGCCTATTCGCTGCGCTGAATCCGAAAATCTACATTGGAAAGCGCGAAAACGGCGAAAAAGGGCTCTAATATAGAAGGGAAATCAGCAGGTGGGCGGGGCTTTCCCCAGTGCGATTTCACACTCCCAGCTCCCGGAGCGATTTTTTCGATTCCGCTAGCCGTTCTAACATCGCTACCGGCCAAATGCGAATGATTGACTTGAAACCGGAAGCGAGAAGGTCGCTCCGGAAGCCGGGAACGTGAATCCGCGGTGGGGAGGACCCCGCCTACCTGCTCATTTTCCTCCTGTGTTAGAGCCGTTTTTCGCCATTTTCGCGCTCTACAATATGCATTTTCGGATTCAGCGTAGCGAATAGGCCCAAGTAAGCACAAAATCTCAAAATCGAGTTTTTGCGCGGACACTGCCTTTAAGCTTTTGGCTTACCTGAGTCTTCGCCATGCTGGTCCGAAAATCCACGCTGGGGAGCGCGAAAACTGCGAAAAAGTGCTCTAGCACAGGAGTGGAATCAGCAAATGGGCCGAGCCTTCCATCAGTGGAAGTCACTCTGCTGGCTTCAGGAGCGATCTTCTCGCTTCCGCCATCTGCCCTAACATCACCACCGGCCAAGTGCAAACGGATGACTTGGATTCGGAACTGAGAAGATCGCTCCTGAAGTTGGGAGAGGACTTTACCTGGGAGGCCCAGCCCATCTGCTAATTCCCCTCCTGCATCGGACCCTTTTTCGCCATTTTCGCGCTCCTCAGTGTGAAATTTCAAATTCATCATAAATAGGTCTAGAAGCACGTAATCTTAAAATCGACTTTGTGTCCGGACATTGCCTTTAATATCTGTGGTGGCAAGCACGAGAAGGATTAGACAGGGAGATGAAGGTGAAAAGTGCTCAAAAGTTCTTTATGCGTGCGATTCTAGTACCATCCGGATATAGCTGGAAAGGATAAAAGCGCCCAAGCGAAGTTTGTCGAGCTTACTGAAGCATACGACTGCCTCAAAGATCCAGAGCGACGGCGTTATTACGACAATGGAATGTCCGGCACGGGAGGACGTTATCCTGGAGATCCTTACAGTTCTAGGGTAACTTCGACGAATTCTTGTCTTTTCACGCAGTTCTGCTCGAGCTTTCTAGGATTTCCAGCAATATTCAAGACCAAGACAAGAAAATATGTACCAAAATGGTGGGAACCCTTTCTATAGCAAAAGCTATACCCAGCAGGAATATGAGCGGGTGAATCTCTGTGGATAATAGTTGATTCTCGATAACAAATGTTTTAAATTAGATCTGGGAAGTATTCAATCGAATGCGATCAGAGCAAGCATCTTACGATGAAAGGCTAAGACGTGAGAAAGAAAGGATTTGGGACGAGTTCGCAAGGCAGCGCGCTGAACGGTGGAAGGCTTTTCATGATAAGTAAGTTTGTTCTATTTGCTTTATTGTGCAGATCCAGTGTGCATTACCCTCAAATCTATCATAAAAAATCTGCTTGCATGTTTTACTTCAGAATCAAAAAAAATTCACTTATATTGCTTTGTGGGAATCCTAGTATCGCCACTTGGTTTGAATTAAAGATAATACAGTTTTATCAGGAAGGTTGTCATGTTCCCAATGTATTGCTTTTTCACAGACAGTATCTGTGGCATGAAACTCATGTACCATGTGGCGCAATGCGTAATTGCGCTGTTCGCGCTCGCTAGGTCGAGTGTTCGAACCCCATGCACAAATTCCAGTCAGCGCTGTGTTGCGCTGGCTGGGTCGATTGCATGGGAAATTATCTGACCATACGATCCTTCTTTCATCCTTATGTTGATAGAGGTTTGCACAATGAGCAACATTGTAGGATACGAAACCTTTGGAACTAAAATTTGAAAAGTAAATAAATCAGTGAATAGGTCATCTTTTTTCTTAACCTCTTCTTCCGAGCAGCCGTAAGTTTGGTTACGAGGCTCTATTCGTTATTTTTTCAGAGGAGGATTGATATTTCTTTACATCTTTTGCAATTTCTCTCTATTTACTCGTCCACATAAATCTATCCTCAGGTATCCCGATGGAGCTCCTGGTTCTGCTCGTTACGAATGGAGATGGTCCACCTCAGATCCTACTGCTAATCGCAACATAGAGCTTTTTAGCAGATTAATCCTAATCTACATGATCTTATTTGGCATTGTAACATTCATACAAGTCCTTAGCGAGTAAGTCGTTATTTCTTCTATGCTATACGATAATTCTGAAACCTTTTAGTTTTAGACCTTTCATTGATGATAAGAAAAAGCAGTATGTGGAGACTGATCAAGGAACGAAAGAAGCTAAGGAGCAAGGAAAGCAGCGAAGACCGACTATCACATTTGAGTACATGAATCAACCACCGATTGTAGAAAGTGAAAGTGAACCATGGACTGAAGTGATTGGCTCCTACCCAACCACTAGTGATTTTATCACGGCTGACTACACTCCAGTAGTTGAGGCAAGAGTTGTAGAGCCCACTTATTCTTCGGATGTTCCAAGACTGCCGGCAAATTGATGGTTTGTAATCGATATTTTTGAGGAAAGTCTAGAGTGCTTAGCTGACAGTTTAGATTGTTTATATTTTCGCTGTAGTATGGGTTGAACCGAATTCCTCACATTGCTGTCGATAGTGTAAATATTGAGAGTGAATAAAAGTGAAGATTCAGATCGAAAAGCGTCTGGGACCGTCACATTTTGGTAAGACTATAAGTCCAAATAATTCAGACGTATCTCCGCCTGATGGAGTTGGCCATTATAGCAGAATCTCTGGATTCTCAATTTCAGAAAAGATCTAAAAAACATAAATCAGGGTATCAGAGGCGAGATAAAAACTTCCAATGTTTCCAGCGTTATTCGTACAATCAAAAACTTCGTGTCCCGATGAATAATCGGCTCCCTCAAGCTCCCAGCAAGCTATCCAAATGAAGAATATCTCAAATTGCAAACAAAAAACCCTTCTCCAGCTTCTGCTCAATCTTGTTTCTTTGGAAGTGCACAAGACGAGAGCTTATTTTCGTGCATTATTAGTGCTGCATTATTGTTCGAGCAATTTATGAAATTTCGAGAAGCGCAGGCTGGTTCTTAATGATTAGCACCATGCCTTTTTCTTAAGTGTCGAGAGAATAATGCTTGAGGCTTTCAGCTTATTCTGCAAAATTTTTTTGGAGGATAATTCGACTATAATTTACGCTGTCAGTTTGGGATGAGGCGACCAGGACGAGATTTTGAAGCATCAATTATATCCAAATTGTTTTTTTTTGTAATACATTAGAAGCTATACTCTAAATTGTCCAAAACGAACAAATTAGGTATTCTATTTTCAAGAATGCTTTCACAAAAAGTCGGCTTCCGCACACATAAGAGCAATTATTCTCATTTTCAATAACATAAATACAACAAGCATAACACGCTTCTCATCAAAAATTGCTGGGTAGTAAAACTTAAATATTAGGTTGATTTATAATTAATGCACGTTTTTCTCTTTTTTTTCTCACCCTTTCTTCCAAGAGCTGGTATTTGATGTGTTGTCAGTTCCCTCAAAAACTTTTTACGATATAAAATATAAAGAGCGTCTTTTTTAGTTTCTTATGCGGGCCTTCGCTTTCGTACATCTCCGTTCATTTCACAGTTCTGAGCCTTCAAATAAAAGAGACTAAATCACAAAATTTTTGCTTTTCACTCTTTTTGCCCTTAATCCATAAGGAATAGCCGGATTAATTTTGAAAAATATGCATGAGGATTAGGAAACCTTGTGCTACAGTACGCTATTTGAGCAAAATTCTCCATGAATTCTGAGCCGAAAAATTCGATTGCGAACTTGATTGATCGTCGCGGCCCCTCCGTGCCATATAAAACTTTGAAGCAAAAGGCGATTGCATGTCTTTTGCACTATCCAGCTAGGGTAGACCTAGTTCATTTGATGGTAAAACAGGCTAGGGTTTTCTCACTTTCAAGCAGAGAAAATTGAAATAATTTCAAAAATGACCGATTTTTGAACCCGCTGAGATGCCAGAAAAAAGTGAGTACTTTCGACTTTTTCGCGATATTTTCTTTCAAAAATTTTCGATAAAATCCAAGTTTGGCATTACCGCTCAAGAGACCCTTGGCTACACGATGAGCAAAGTCTGCTTTATCCTACTTTATTTCAAAATAAGTTATGCTCTCTCAAAGTAGAGGCTTCTGAAAAAAGTTGCTGGCAATCTTCAAGCCAGAAAATCTTTCTTATGATAGACACAGTCATGCAAAAGTATTTTTTATAGCCACTGATTTGATGCTTACAGTAGCTTTTATTGCGCCCTGAAATGTCTTTTCAAAAAAGAATTATTTCGGTTGAAAGTTGAAGTATAGAAAACGTGCATTAATTATGAATCAACCTATCCGATTGCATAGGCACTCATCTATTAGATTGTCTAAAAAAGCATCCTCTTTGAAACAAATTAAGCTGTTTTTGTATTCCTAGCAAGAGCACCATTTCACAGATTAAGCCAAGCTCTTCAAGAAAAAATTAAATTAATCAAAAAACAAAAGAATGCGCCTAACTCATAATTCAGGTAACATTTGGAACCAAAAATCAAATTTTTCAGGCGCTCTAAAAAGCGGATCTCCTTCTAGAAAATTCATACGGATCTCCAACTTTGTCATTATGCAGTAGTAGTAACCAAACATGTGCTTGGTTGGATTTTTGTCGGGTCATAAACTGTATTTTGAAATAGCCCAATAACGCAAAAAGGTAACTTTTTTCGATTTTTCTATGTTGAACTTGGTATTTCCCGATTTCCCAAAGTACAAACAGGGTAAATTCTGAGGTTATATCTAGCACGACTTGTAGTATACATTGACATATGTGGGAGGGGCTAGAGGCAGAGTTTGTCATTTTTGACCATCATTTTTTTTCGCCTTCTAACAAGGAAACGATACTCGGTGTCCGTGGCCTTTTGAGATGAGTTGTATACCATTACACTCGTCTTGACACGCTGATTCCGAATCTGACTTCCGTTTCTGCTAATCGCTTCAAAGATGTTACAGGGGATTGTGCAGGCTTTGGCTGCCCACTGAAATACGTTCAGACCGCCAAGAGGACCGGTGCTGTGTGGTCTAGTGGTTAGTGCGATAGGCTCATGAGTTGATGCAGGTGTAGGTTCGAATCCTTTCCCGTTTTTCAATTTTGCATTGCCTTAATAAACCTTCCTTCGCATCTTCGAGCTGACTAAGCGCCCTTACTTTTCAAAAAAATGTGGAAATTTGGAAAAAAAACGATTACTATTTGCGCTAAAATGTATCCAATGATCATAATTCAAGTAAATCTCGAAAAAGTTTAATTGAAGCAGTGCAAAATAAAGATACAAAAAGATTTGAACCTACACCTGCATCAAGTTACGAGGCTATCAGACCAACCACTAGACAATAACGTGGCGCTGGTAGAGGCCGTTAGGTGACATATCCTTGGGCGGCCAAAGTTGGCTCGAATCTCTTCCATAACTTCTCTCAGAGAAACGATTAGCAGAAGCGGAAGTCAGATTCGAAATCAGCGTTTGAAGACGAGTTTATTGGTATACATCTCGTCTCAAAAGGCCACGGACATTGAGTATCGTCCCCTTGTAAGCGCTTAAAAATCCAGTAAAGGCGTATTTAAGTGAGACTTATGTGTACTGTATAACAAACAAATTTCAGGCTAGTAGGATTTTCGCAAAAATGCAACTCTCAGGTGATGAATTTTGATTTTGGCTTCAAACTTTACCTGGATTACAACTTATGTGGAGTGATGGTCTTTTCATAGAGCTTGCTTCGTTCTATCAAGTGATATAACTCTGCTAGGAAAACAAAAACAGCTTAATTTGTTCAGAAAAAAGTTTACTTTTGGGACAATCTTTACTTCAGAATGAAAAGAAAAACTTGGAGAGTGTGTGACTGCTGGAAGGTTTGGGACCCACAAGGTTTTACCACTGATAGAAAATTCCAAACATCTATGATACTGTGGTCTCATGAGCTTTTTATCTTTTAAAAAAAGTATGGTCTCATGAGCTTTTTATCTTTTAAAAAAAGTACATTGCACAGCACTATCGAATTTTCAAACCAATATGGCGCTCTGCACCATGCAGAGAATGTGAATTGCACCATAGTCAATTCTAAACATCTCTCAAATGCCTGATAGGTTAGTTATCTAGGTTATTGGTAGGTTAATGTTTGTTTTCACATAAATCCCTTGCTCTTTCCAAGTTGTTGAGTTTTCCTCAAAATCGAACCAAGAAGAGCAAGCTAATGGTGAAAGGTTTGTTTCAAAGCCAAAAAAATGCCTTTTGGTTTCTACACAAAAGTCACATTTACATAGGCATACAATAATCCATTTTGAAACACTCGTGCTATGGCGAATTGAAAGGAGATTAAGTGCAGATTGTTTGGCCAATGGCACACCGTTTGTTTGCTCAAAGGAGCGCGACTACGTAAGCGGAGTCTAGATCGAGATCAGCTTTCCGTTGTTCTCGTTCCTCTTCACCTTCGATCTTTCTATTGCAATTATACAAAACACTATCCACAGGCGAGATGCATCCATCATAATTGTTTATTCTTGAAGAAAACTACTGCACGCAAAAGAAGAGCTGAGTGTGTACATCATTATTATACTAACATCAGCACCACTTAATCCTGGAATTAGCAGAATACTTGACGTAGTTGACTGCACGGAATTGCTCAGGCTGAATGCTAGCGAGCGTGTCTCTTCCGCGATGAGTCATCTCGGCAGCCGCGTTGCAGGTACGCTCGCATACGTTCAGCCTACAGCGATATGGGCAATTTCGTGCAGTCGACTTTAGAATATTGCAAGTCTATCGAGGGTTTTGAACCATTCTGCTAACTTCCGTACTTGACATCTGTTACTCAACTTTCTGCAATTATTGCTGTGAAACAAAGTTCAATCATTTTTTTCAAAGTCCACTTTTCCTTATGCATGATTTCTCAGGGGTTTTCGATGCCACCTTACCAATCATTATGGTTACCCACTTTTGAATGTAGTGAGGAATATTTTTTGCCAAGCTAAGAGTGTTTTCTCTGCATTGCTTAATTTTCACAAAGCCAAAGGTGAAATGTCGTTACCGATCAAGAACGTACTTAGGTTCACCGTGTCAGTAGAACAATTTGGGGGTTTTCTAAAGTGCATTTTCGCTCATTTATCGCCTAGATGCGATCAGTTTAAGACGAATGTAATGGCGCAAGATTTAGATTTTGGCGAATTTATGCATATTTCAATAATATCTTTAGTGATCCCTCCTAAAAATTTTGTAAACGAATGGGCACTTTTGTCTTTCCTACAAAATAGAGAGACTCATACCCTCTGATTCGACGGGATTGGCGGTCGGAAGGCGGGGCCTTCGAAGATTGATCAAACTAGGGAATGACCAGAAAGCACGCTGGCGAGAGAGACGCAGACTGCGTCGCGGGTACGAGCGGCCGCCTTCGAGCCGCCAATCCCGTTAAATCAGATTGTAACTTCGAAATGTGACTTCAGCGAAATCTGCCAGATTCTGAGGAAAACGTCATTTTTGTAGAATGAAAACTGAAATCAAATTTTTGTTTTGAAAGATCTTGTTATTTTCTGTGAATTCAAGCAACAACAACTAAACAAATATCATTCTTTCATGGATTATAGTTTTATTGTCGATTGTATTGAGATG